ATTTGTTCAAAGTCGCTACCGATACATTGGGGGGCTCTTTTGATGCAGTATGGGACAGGGGCTCTCTCGCAGCTATTGGCCTGTATACTGAGAATCGAGGTAAAAGATATGCTGATTTATTAGCGAGTTTGCTAAGACCAAATGGCCGTATCTTGGTTGAAAACCATGTATATATAGACGACCCTGGACCACGAAGTGGACCCTCGCATGTTCCACCAGAAGTTCTGCATGATTTGTTTGGAGACAAGTTTGACATTGCAACACTGGACGTGGAAGATAGTCCTACAAAGGGACCTTACAATCATTCATACAACTTAATGACTTTGAAATGATTGCTGAGTTCACATTGACTATCCCGAAAATTAGTATGATGCCGAAACATACAGCTGTAAATGAAGTTTAGGCTGCTGTAGAGTATTTTAATTCATAGTGTTTGTAATCAGGCAGGCTCATGCAATAGTCCCAGAAAGTTTCAAAAGTTCTCACTTCTTAGCATGTATGCCTCTCAGGACAACCATCTCAGCAAATGTTGCTCCCTATTAATAGTCATCAGGCTGGACACGGTGCAATGTAACTTTAGGATAYCTTTTGACGACCCTCAAACAAAAAACAATTAGGAAACCTAGTAACAAAGAAGTAGGAAAGAAGATAAATTTAGAAAATGGAAGACGTTAAATGAAAGCTCATGGTGGCCAGAAAAAAACGGCAAGTCGGGGAGATTTGATTCATGTATAAATTAATTACTACAGTATTTGGTATGTAGATAGAGATAAATGAAAAACATCGTCATATAATGGAAATAGATATACTTTTCTGGTAGCTGTGTTCCTGTAAGTGGAATTCACGCTGTTTCACTATTCATCGCGATCGTGTTTGTTCCGTTATCATGTTGATATAAAAAACCTTTCCCTTCACTAAAGGGTCAAAATGATTGCCACGTAAGACATACATGTGGTTTTTATTCACGTCTCTTTGCGGTGCGCCACTCAGCCTTCATACATGCATAGCTTTATATTGGAGGGCAGATCCTTTCATATAGGTGCGGTATTTGAAGAAACATGATCAAGTCTTCATGCCCGCGAATATTTCTGCGCATATAGCCGGCGATGCTCTAAAAGCTTTCAATGTAAGTGCAGGAATGCGATCCGTATCAGTTTTTTTTTGTAGTTGGATGAAATTACCATATGGCCTTCTCGTGACTTATCGATGTGTCTAGAAAATATTACCCAGGATACAGTGCATTCTTTGGCGTATGACGTCATCAACGGTTTACATTTGATGTGTTGGCTTTAGGAGTTTCGAAATAGAAGTAAATCTACATGGGAATTAACCTTAGTTTCTGCCATAAATTTGACAGTTAACGGAACTAGGAGCATATCTATCTATTCAGGTTGAATGCAAGATTCAATAAGGATTTCAAGTTGACCATATGCGACAACTGGGGATGAGTAATGCGAGCGACAAGGACTTGGAGTTCGCTGATCCGAAAGAGGAGGCCGCGTACTGGAAAAGACTTGCTCAAGAATACGAACAAAAGTACGCGACTTAAATCAATTTACAGCTCCTACTGTTAGCTTCATTTCTCAATACAGTTGTAATTCTAAGTTTCAAATCTGTTTTTTATTTCATATGGTGTTTTAGATGGTTAGAAGCAAGAGAAGAACTGGATGAATTTCAGGAAGGTAGTCGTGAGCTGGAAGCGGAGCTTGAAACACAGTTAGAACAAGCTGAATCTCGACAACGAGAATTATTAGCATCTAAAGCTAGACTAGAAGCCGAAAATGAGAGCATAAAGGTACACAGTAAATGAAAGTTTGTTCGCRATTTTCTGAACAAGATCTGGGGTTGTTTACGTCGCCACTACGATGGATTATATATTTATGAAAGTAAAGCTGCCATCTTGGATCAAAGAATATTTTCAGTTTCTAAATGTCTCGATTTAACTGTAATCTTGTTTGTACTATATAGGAAAAACTAGAAGCAGGGCAAAATGAAGCTTATTTAACAGTTACTGCACTCCAGGACGAAACAGCTCAACTTCGGGCAGTGAAAGAAGAACTGCAAAAATACGTTCGGGAATTAGAGCAAGCGAATGACGATCTAGAACGAGCGAAAAGGTAAGACATTCCTCTCAGGACGCTCCTTGTTTTGCTATTTTTAACACATGTTGTCATGATTCTCTTTGCTACAATCTTTCGTTTCCTTTTTTGATATTTTCTGTAAAAAATGGTAAATATATTCACACTAAAATACTGTATCTTCAATGTTTTGATTGCAATATTCTACGTGTATCATCCTACACAGCGAACTACCATGAAAAACAAATAGACCGGCTTGTTGAGTTTTTGATTATTATTGTTATTGGAATTGTTTTTGTAAAAATAATGATAATTCGAGTCATATTTTTCGTAAATTCATCCAAAGTATTTCGRTGATATACCGTAATTAATTTTTCAGATAATGTAAGATAATTTATCTTTGTCGCAACATTTTATCTCCTCAGGGGAAATATAATTATCTGTAATAATATTAATGTGTCCAGCTCGGCATAAAAATAATATATTTCGTTGATGAACTCCAATATACACATCTTTAGTGATTAATTGTTCTGTAATATTGATCTCGATACACATGATGTACAAGCCCAGGAGTACAAGATGATGGGTAATCCGATCCAGTCTCATCAGAGATTTAAATTTCGCATAATTTCGTGTTCTTGAAATATTTTTTTCTTTTCCTGCATGTATTTGTATATTTTTGTTATATCTATGAACTCCTGTTGATATTGCTAATAATACTTAACCGTGGGAATTTTTTACATTTGATATTTGCCTGCCTAAGAGTTATGCTACAGCAAAATGGTTGCAAACGCTCAAAGTCCACTTGGCTTTGAAATAGATGCCATTAAGATATTTGATGCAAAAAGCTTAATCTGAAGGGCTTTTCATCAAATAAAAGGTAGAAATCCACAAGAATGTTTTGAAAAGACAGTTATGTGTCAAAAGAAAAGCCAGTTCTGGATCACCAAGTATCTATTGTGTCATAAATCCATATATTGTGCTAGCAAATCCTATGGTTACATATATGGATATAAACAATTTGATTATTTTTTTGTCCGTTATTCAAACATTCTTTTACCTCTTTGTGTAAAGCCTGTTTCTACTGTGCAATATACCAATCAGAATTGAGTGTGTATCGAATATTTTAATCACTGTAGCCAGTTGAATTGACATTTGCTGAGTTCAGCTGAAAGTAATATATATCATATATCAAGTATACTTGCAATTATATACTTTATTCTTAAAATTTCATGTTCTTTTATTGGTTAGATTGTGTAACTACATTTACCATTTAAAAATAGGCACTAGAAGAGGTCTGATAATGAATGTAATGCATAATTATTCCAGTTAGAAATCTTTATTATTCAGTAATCACATCATCATTAACAGTTTGTTATTGTGCTAAGGCATATTGTTCATTATAAGCTGTTTCTCAACTGTTTATTGCGTTTAGCAAATGTTAAAATGCTTTCTTGGTCAAGTTTTGCTATATTTTTATTAACACTATCCATATGTATGTATGTATGTATGTATGTGCCGTCCGCTTCAGTTTTGAAGATCGGTGGCCCTATCCATATGTGCACATTGTAAATGTGTCTATTATTGATAGTCTTTTATGGTGTGTTTTGTATTTTATGGTATTGCTTCTTGACCAAAATAACCTATCACAGATAAAATTTCTCTGTTGCTGCAATATAAATTGATGAAATAGACTTGATCAAAAACTGTATAAGGATTTCCTTTTGTAATTTGTTGATGCTGTATTTAAATCAACTGGCTTGKTTTGTTTTTGTTTTGTTTCTGAGTCACCTGTCTGATTTAATGTCCATTGTTGGCAAGTACAAACTTGGCTTTACAATGGTTCTGACAGGTACTGAATACAAACACTATGAATACCTCATRGAATTCTCTTGTCCACARCCATAATTATTTTTTTACATGTTTTGTAGAATTTTCAAGGCTTATATATATGTTTTTGTGCATTGCTGCAAGTAATAAATGCTTCTTTTTGAAGTCATGTATGAATTTGATGAATTTCATATTGACTAAATTATATAGATCTACACATTATTATACGTTTCTTGCTATTAGTGATAACTGAACCTCAGAAAAAAACACATAAGTTATAAGTAATAAAGGCCATAGTAAGCTTTTAATTTAGATGTATTCTGTTTTTTTTCTATAGCTAAATGTTACAGAAACTGTTGAAATATATGCAGCACTTCAACTGTCAGACATTTGGTGTTTTTTTTGTGCCTAAAATAGTCAAAATACTTTATATTTTTCAAAAATACAGCTGATATAGGAGACATTTTTATGTCTGCTGGTATATAATGTATGATTGTAATAAATTAAAGTATATAGGATCATGAGCCCTTCATTAAGGGATTTTACTAATTGTCAAATACTGAGATTTTAGGATTATCATTTGAAGGGTGGAGTGTTGGCCATGATAAATTAATTGATTAAATTAATTAAATATTTTTTAAAGTTACTGACAGTTTCTCATGTCTTTCCAATAGCTCCAGCTGTTCAATGTTCAATATATTTTGTCATGGAAARCAYTCCTGTTCGATATATTGCTGTCACATAACTTGCAGCTCCTGAAGTGTTTTAATTGCTCTTTAAGGCTTATAATCCTCTGTTGCTAGGAAACATCAAAKCATAAAGCAAACATACTGTATGTCATTTAAGAGCTATTTGTGTCTTCTGACGTGTATTTTGCTTTTAATTCTTGAGTTTTGTTTATTTGTCATAAACTGAATGTTTTTTTTTTTGCAGAGCAACTGTATGTTCACTAGAAGACTTTGAACATCGACTAAATCAAGTAATTCTCTTTAATTTTAATTAAATACTTATGCTATACTTTTGATATTATCAAGAAATCTTTTGTTTTTTATATTACTATTTATCATTTCATCATTTTATGAATATTCATATGCYAAACTAATCTTGATACAATATGATTTCCTAGGCAATAGAAAGAAATGCCAAACTAATCTTGATACAATATGATTTCCTAGGCAATAGAAAGAAATGCAATTTTAGAAAATGAATTGGATGAAAAGGAAACATTACAAGAGACTGTACAGAGATTAAAAGATGAAGCTAGAGGTAGAGATATCTACATATATGATAGTATTCAATATGAATTATGAAACTGTGTAACTGTCATCATTGTAGACAGAATAATAATAATTATTCAATTCAGGTTTTAATAGTAATTATTATTACTATGCTGGTGGACTTCCACCTCATGAAACAAATTACAGCATAAAACTGGTGCTCATTTTTCAATTGTAATCAATATTTTAAGTAGTGAATTGTGCAATATTTTCTTCATAGTTGTATGCAAACTCTGTTGCAATTGAATATATTTTTATTTTATAGATGTAAAACATGGTTTCCGTATCAGTCAGCCATGAGTAGTCACATGATTGTGGAGGGGGCGGGGAGTGTTATTTTGTTTGTATTTTAAAAGTATTAACCATTAACACTGTATTCCACAGATCTCAGACAAGAGCTTCATGTTAGACAATTAGAGAAGAAAAAACCAGAAGAATTTAATAATAAAGAAAATAAAGAACCAGAAAAATTATCAACTCCTGTTAAAAAAGAAACTGAAACCACTTCAAATCAAATAACACATTCAATTGGTACCTCCCCCTTACACACAGCTTATGGCACCTCCCCCCTGACTCCYTCTGCAAGGATATCAGCTCTAAATATTGTTGGTGACTTATTAAGAAAAGTTGGGGTGAGTAGATGAAATATTATTTGGAATYAAATTGTTGTTGACTGGCCCCTCAAGAATATTTTCAAATATAATTTATTTGTCAGCTTGTCAATCAAACTAAATAATGTCATTTATACCAATTGTTGCTATGTAAGAATARAATATCCCTCAAGCTTTACTCTCTTTAAATCTTATTCCATTCTCACCAAATTACTATTTATGTACCAATACTTGGTGATAGCAAATCAATAATGATATGTTGTACATGRATCCACAGGCCTTGGAGTCTAAACTAGCATCTTGCAGAAACTTTGTTAAAGAGCAGCCTCACACTATGAGAGGCTCAACAGCATCCAGCAGCCCAGCAGATTCACCAAGGTGATTTAATCAGTAAAAAGTATTGASCTYGTTAATCATTTTCAGCTATTAATGCTCATTACTTTGTGTTTATAGAACGAGTCGAGTTGGAAGAGCCAACTACTCAAGTACAGCTATGCAAGGCTTGGTGAAAATTCAAGTTTAGTCAAAATGACTCAATTTTAACTATATAATAATTATATATAATAGATATTTGTTAATAGGCATGCATGTTTTTATGTAGGATCCAGGTTACAAACTACTATGATGATACTGTGAAAATCCTTGTATGGCAACTATCAATTTGAAACTTGCAAATAATCTGCTTTCTTCAGGGTAGCTTTGTTTTCCATTTCTGGTGTCATCTTGTTTTCTTCTTGTAATCTTTCCATGGTTCAACAGAAGACATCAAGGATTGTTCTTGAGTGTTGGCCTTCTTGTTATTGACTAACAAAACAATCTTAATTTGCAATGAAAATACGGAAAATTATTGTTTGTAATTCAAGGGTTTTCACAGTCATGAATCTGGGTCATGGTTCCAGGTTTCTCACCCCATCAGCATTCATACATGCTACCGCTTGACTCTTGATGGTAACTTGTATGATTGACATTTCCCTATCACCATAGTTACCAGCAGCAGGTACGTACGACATGTGAACTTTACTTTTCAACAAGATCTSTGATCTTTCAGCTCTATTGATAAAGCACGAAGACTGGAACTAAMTTATAAAGAAATGCCATCTTTTTGTAATGAATTAAAATTTTTATCAAGTTATTATTTCACTGGATTTGAGGGAATGAGACTATATCCTGCTGACTTACATGTAACTGATTTCAGATTGAAGGCAAAGGATATTTTTTAGACAACTTCTTTTGCTTTCAGTGGATGTTTGTAACCATGGGGATGTTTGTTCAGTTTTTATATAGCATGCATAGATTATAAAGGCTGCTGAGATGGAAGTATTTAGTTGAATGCAAAGAGAGAATGTACAGATATTTTGTATGATCATTTTAATGTAAAATAATTGCAGAGCATAATAAAGAGCCTTATAACAAAGCCATTAAATGATTCMTTCATGGCTTTGCATTTTCGTAATTAAAATATTTAAAAAAGTTGGTAAAAAGAGCTCATTAACTGACGATTATGAAGTATTTCAGAAAGAGTGTAGCCTGTCCTTTGATGACTTACACAGAATCAATAAAATGTTTTATATTGTGGATAGTGATGCTTTAAGAGATGCCTAAAATTTCGGGAAACAAATCCGTGAAACAAAACTATTGATAGTAATTCGTTTACATGTTGTTTCACGGGTGTGAGTTCATTTAGGAATATCCTTTCGAATACGCTAATCAAACTATACAATTTGTTTCACGGATTTATAACGTTACACTCAAACCTTGAACTTCTTATGTTGGGATATAAGGACAGGCTACTACGCATTTATTCTTACCAATGAATATAACCCTATATTTATAATAGCTCAACTTCCAGTCGATGATCTGGAGGTAATAAACTTAATTCGATCCGTAATGTTGTGTGGTCATTTTAATTTCTTTGTTTCTTTTCTAAGAAGTCCACAGCACTAACACCTAACCATTAGAAACCATAAGTTCAAGACCTTGCACCAGACGCCAGACAATTTCATTAAAATGTAGTGTACACAAAAAGATCATTTTKRTRATTTTYGAGGTATGATTTGTMGTGGTTTGGTGTTATTTTTTTAGGGATAATGCATCTAGACGTGACGTTTGCATATATTTCTCGCGGCATAACATGSTGAACGTGTWTGGTGATAACAATGTCAATCCTTCTGCCTTTTATATAAAGGAGTGAATTCAAATCTGTACAATTTGCATTAACAATCTTTGATTGTTAATTACTTTTCGCGATAACGGTTAATTATCTGATCGAGGRTTCATAATCCTTTCTTAACGGATGGGTGCTTAAGTGCTTAGGTGTATAATAAACATTATCAGTATTTTTGTAAGACATTTTACAATCTATCTACCAAATCACGCTAGTGTCTCTTGGTATATAGTCTGTACCTCTTAATTTATTGAATTTTCTGCACCGACCGTTTGACATGACGCACTGCAGGAGCGGAGTTTCTTCTTCCTCCTCTGACAGCCCCCCTTATGTAGCGACAATACTGAAGGTCTHCGAAATCTTCTTGAGCTGTAGTTGGTCCAAAAGGACGATCAAAGCTTCTAGAACGCGGTTTAAAAACTGTTTGGGATCGAATAGGTGGCAGAGTGGTGGGAGGGAGGTGTAATTTTGGTCCTAACTTCCTTTCGGCCTCGCTCAAATCAAAATATCCAGGGGGTGATGTTGGTTCAGATTCGCTGTTTGTTTCGTCGTTGTCAGGGGTTTGATTCAAGGCTTCAAGCTTCTCCTGTAGGTTACTTTGTGCGCGCTGAAGACTTTGTAGCGAAAACTTGACAGGCTTTCTTTTTACCTTCTTGCTATCAAAACTAGCAGTGCTTGATTTAGTCAAGTTCGGCTCTGAATAAACACTTCTGTTATCACCTCCACCTGAGTTTTGTTCCCTGACTGATCTGATYAAAGAGTCATAYACATCGGCCAGTGTCATTCTTCTTTTAGTGAAACCAGATTCAGGGTTTACTTGGGCTCTGGGCGTTGACGATACAGTGGAGGAAGTCTCTGATTCATGTACAGTGTCTAAAGTCAGCGATATACTTTGTAGGCGATCTCTTTGCTTGAGAAGAGCATTTTTGTCTATGTTGACTTTGCTTTCATACTGTCGTTGCTCTCGGTCTAATGCTCGCTTTGCTTTAAACCAGTTATCTGATGCTCTCATGTTTTTCTGCATCAGATGTCTGTTAGCAGACGTTGCTTTAACCGCTGGCTCAGCATCTAAACTTTCTGGCCTTGTAGTAGCCATCTTTCTTCATGAATATTTGCTAAAAAAAGCGATTGCGCTCTTTTTTAGATCTTTGATGAGATAATTAAAGTGGACAGCATGAGWTCCTTTGTTTTAAGAATAAGTCGTGTTTCTATAGGTGAAAACGCTTTCGCTTTGTCTTTTGTCTTGAATAAAGCGCAATCAATCATACATTTCAAGGCGGCTGTTTTGACTAATTTTCCCATGTAGGATTTACCGTATCAAAATATATGGTTTGTTTTGTAAGAAACAAATACGCCAAATAACACACTTGATCCAACAACAAACTAGTTTGCTCAATATTCAAAAATGACACAGTCTGACCACAGTTCACTGTTATTGCTAATATTAGGGTCAGGTTAATATCTTAACACCCGCTTTCATCGGCCTTATCGCATCATAGAGAAATTAGCTTAGGGTCGTGAATTAAGGTATGCAGGCACATGGCAAATACGAAATACAACCCTAAAATACACGGACAAGACGCTTTTTATCCGGATCTCCGATCCTCATCCCGAGACTGCGCCATTTGTAATGTTTCTCTTTCTTCGTGTACTGTACTGAATGTRCTTGTTTACCGAACTTTTCTACAAAGGACTTCTTAATCGAGATTAAGGGTCTTAAGTTATTAACACAGAACTTTTAGCAAATGGTTCAAGAGTTCGTAGATCACAAAATTGACTATATTCACATGACAAGGGTGTGGAACTAAGATTTGAAACTTGGCAACTGGATACCGAGSAAGAATCGTCGAAGGTTACTTTATCTAGTTAATATAGCAAACATGCACCGCCCTCAAATAAAACAATCAAACTAATTTSAACACATTTATTGGAATCAACAATTATTTTCTGAACCAATAGTAAGACGTCCCGGCTTGCAGCGCATGACTATCATCTGCATCGCTAATTTTGGAGAGATTTCACTCGCTCTTCGCGACATGGTGACAGTCCCAGGAACTTTATATGCTACATCGATTCACACTCATATCACGCGTCGATACCATTCGAGTCCCCTGCTGCACTTAGAATGAGGTTTGTCAGGATTTGTCAAAGGAGACAAACTTTCTTCAAGTCACCCTGSATTCGCAATATCTTATTACCGACATCTATTATCTTTATCACCAATCTTTGCTCACACAAACTAGACTTCCAGCTTGTCGACTTTCACCAGATGCAAGTGTTACTTTCCAAACCCTCCACCATACTCAAACATCACCACAAACTCATTCACTTAGGTTTATAACCAACACTTGATAACAAGAACCACTCTTTCATTTAACCTTTACAACTGTGGTTCTCCCTTAGTGCTTCCAATCCAACCCGTCTTCACACTCGTTTTTATGGGGTGACATTCACATATCTTTAACTACAGACATGGTAACCATCTTCAACATAGCAGCCATCTTCAACAGCATCCCAAAACAATGCTTCACCAGCATTTACAGGAGTTATTCCTGGACTAATCGAGATGCAGAATGATGCAATGATAATCATTTCTCAGGTTCCCTCACTGCTTCAACGACTACTGCACTTGCATAGTTTACTTCAGTAGAAGGATCAGCCTCACAACWTTCACTTCAAAACCACAGCACAATTTCATTGTTTCTGCTCCATCTGCTTTTACACTCCTTTTTTCACATCTTTCTACAYAACAAACACTCTCTTGAAACAAAGRTTTCACTCTTCCAGTTTCAYTGYTTTTTTATGTCACACTTCACATCTCACRCTCAGTTTCACAACAATTTGTAGTTSTGYTTYAAACCAATCTTGACTTCATTGAAACTGCTTTTCAATATTTTTTTCAGCTTAGACTCCGAGTTCACCACATCATGTATTTTCAGCAAAAAAAATTTGGTACACAGCTGCCAATTGGTCTGCAATCTGCAACGTTTTCAGCACTCAAAATTCAGCAAATTTGGAAACAGTCTGTGGCTCTGCATAACACCAACTCTCTGGTCAGCAACACTGGAACACAGTATTACACTGTAGACAGTCGCTGCCCGCTCAGGTCATCAGACCAGTACTGCATTTAACTACTGCGCCTACAGGAAACAGTGATATATTTAATGGGGAAGGACTGGACAATACAGGTGGATAGGAGCAGATCAACTTTGCTTTCTTTTTTAAATGTCAAGACCTACTTATTAACACAAAGACGTATTGCATTTTCAGCTTTCTTCTGTTGTTGCCTCCAAAAGYGGGTGACACAGATAGCTTTTGCTACATTTTGTTTGACATTTGATTGACAGAAAAAGAAAGCAAAGCTGCATAAAAATATCATATGAAAATACATGTTCAATTAATCCCAATGGAAATACTTGGCTAAAATATCAAAGATTAACCCTGACTTGAAATACTAAGCTATCAAATGGATCTAACTCTAGTCTTTACATTTTCTCTAGAAGATAATGACACAACTTTGTTGCATCAACGAACAGTGAATGCATAGGCATCAGAACAAGTTATTAAAAACCGAGCATGCATATTTTACAACATAACAGGAAAAACTTTTGTTGTTGCTTAGAAACAAAATTTGTTATTTTAAAGTGTAAGCATGTCTTTCACGCGGAAGATCGGGTAGTGTAAAAATAAAGAAAGCGTAAAATCAGGAATATAAGTCACTACCTAATCAGAAAAAGTTAGGAGGTGCAATGGCTTGGGCTGCATGTCAGCTAAAACAGCATCCCCTGAAAGAAAAACACCATACATTGCAAACATTAACAAACTAACAGAAGTTATTCAAGATCAGCAGCCTCATTGTAGGCTCCGCTATTGTCATTTTGTTCATGTCTTGGAGATCGAGAAGGTGACCGTCTTGGGGATCGTGACCGACGCATGGGAGATCTTGAACGAGAGCGTCGTGGCGACCGGCTGCGGGATCGCTTTACTGGGCTTCTCGATCGACGAGGGCTGAACGAACGTGAACGACGCTTTGGCGATCTTGAACGGGAATATCGTCGACGAGGAGATTTTGATCTTGAACGGGAGTAGCGACCTCTGTAAAAACAGACAGAAGATAGTCAGAGCAAGCAAGCATGTTGCGTCTACACACAAGTGCTTTTACAAAAATATCCAAGATTAAATATGTATATATTTAAAATATCCGCTCAATATGTGCAAAATTACATTCATTTATGAATGTAAAGACTTTACCTTCTTCTTGGTGAGCGAGATCGAGAACGATAGCTTCTTCTCGAGTAATTGCTGCGTTGTCTTGGTTTGTAATCCTCGGTWGGGCGACCATATCTTGCCATTTGTACTCTGATCTCCCTTCCATCCAGAATACTCTTATCTAGAAGATCCATAGCATCTTCGGCATCTCTTTTTTCCCAGAATCGAACGAAGGCAAAGCCCCGAGATTGAAGATGTTTGCGATCTCGTGGGATGTAGATGTCTCCRACATCACCATATTTTCCAAATACCTTCTTTAATTGGTCTACTCCCGTTCGATAAGTAAGATTATCGACTTTCAAACTAGTCATGCCATCGATRTTTGGAGGTCCTTTACTGCCATCGAAACTCATTTTAGCGAAAAATCGAAATATTCCAAGTCCAAACCAAGAGTATTCCACCAACGCAGTCAAAATGGAGGACGAAAAAGCACATGCTCTCATAGGGTGCTCAATAGAATGCGTAATGATTTATACCCCTTGAAGTGACAATGATATCCCAATGGGGGTAGGGAGGGGATTACAGTTTCCATCATTTTATTTCATTTTTTAAGTATTGTTTTTAATAAAATAATCAATAAATACTCCAGTAAAACTAATAGAAATAACAAATCATGAAAATACAGAAGCTTCACAAGAAGATAAAAATTTCCTAACTTTGGATCTCTACTAGTATTTTGGCACATGGTGTTATAAACAAAACATAGCTCTGATGTGTATGGTTTCTTTGTTTATAACACTTGTAAATATTTGTTTATAACACTTGTAAATATCTTTTTGTCACTTACTGTGACAATCATAGAATGTCAGTCTGTAATACAAAAGAAAATATCTAGTCAAGTTTAAAGTAAGTGATTCTCTTCTAATAATTTCTTCTTCGTATGAAGATGCAACAGTCTTATATCACTTTATATATCCAAATAGAACACTATTTTTTGGATGGTAGAGGAGCATTGTCTTGTAGTAAAGTATCTTTTGTCACTTTAAGTTCATAACTGTTTTTTTCAGCATTGTAAACACCCTGGACTACAGCTTGTAGAAGCATCTTCTCAACATCTTTWCCAATTGATAACAGTTCATTTATCTTGYTAACGTCTGTTTCATGTTTATTTTTGACAAACTCTTGTCTAATTCTTTGTCTTCCTGCTTCAAGTGCTGCAGTATCTCCTGCAAATGTCTTTAGTCTTGCTCTATGTAAGCTTCTATAGCAAGCAAGAACCTGTGGTTTGAAAAATAGACTCTCCTCTTAGATATTGCCTATAATTGTTTATTTCTATGATAATAGATTGCTAGCTGATATTGTTGAGATTGCTAGCTGAGTACAACACTAAGATGGTAACATCGATCTGCATTATTAAAAGCCATGTTATGAAATCAATTTTTCAGACAGAAACATGAATCTGGGTGCAGTATGCGAAAAGAATAATAAGGGAAGATTACTTGAAACATAATACATTAATAGATGATACTAAAGKCTTCAATTACTTACTTTTGAACGCAATGAACTCATTGTATTGTGATATAAACATTACTAGAAACTCACCGGTGATTTTAAGTTACTTGTTCCCAGTCCACTCAGCACATGGGCTTCCTGTGTTTTGTAGTCAAGATGGCGGACGAAGGCGTTCAATGAACGTAAAGGTATTTTTGTCAGAATCAAGGTAATCCAGTCTCGATTTCTCAGTTTTTATAGTGAATATTTAAATTTTAAAATGGCTAAAGCAAGAAAACAAGTTGTCAAACCCGTCGGACCACAGAAATCAGACAAGAAATCCAAACAAGACTACAACATATGGTACAATAAGTATTCAGGTGAAAGGCACAAACCAGGCGAAGAGCGCACGAAAGCTATTAGTCGATGCAACATTGCAACAGATGCAGGTGAAACTCGAGGAACGCATAATGATATTGCAGGAATATGTTTGAACTTTGCACGAGGTTGTTGTGCTTTAGGATATGAGTGTTCTTGGCGCCATGTGGTTCCAGAGAAAGGCAAGCATAGTTTAGAAACAATGAAAGATTGCTTCGGTAGAGAAAGGCATGACGATGTTCGGGATGACCAGAGTGGTGTAGGATCTTTTACAGCTGATGATGAAACATCGAGGACTTTATATGTAGGGGGGATTGTAAAAACACCCAGCATGCATAGCATTGTTTATAAACATTTCCAGGAATGGGGTGATATTGATAATATAAGAGTCCTTGATGGAAAAGGTGTTGCATTTGTAAGATATAAAGATCGAGCTAATGCAGAGTTTGCTATGGAAGCCATGCAAAGGCAATCTTTGGATAATAATGAGATCTTGAACATTCGTTGGGCAACAAAAGACCCAAATCCATGGGCTGAGAAGCGTAAACAACAAAATGCTAAACGAAAGCTTGTTGAGGCTGCAGTAAATACTGGGATGTTAAATGAAGATGYCAGTGATGTACCTAAGATAAAGAAGTCTCATCATGTTACTGATGATATCACTGGGTATTATCCAAACACAGACTATCTTTATCAAGACTCTGGTGTCACAACTACAACCCTCCCCTCCCTAGCTCCCTCTCCACCTAAAACCCTATCAGATCTTGTAGCTTGGTCTCAAAAACAGGCATCTATTGACAGGGTTGATGACAAAAAGAGTTCAGAAAATACTGTTAAAGCATTAGTTGGTGACTATGGATCATCATCAGATGACGAGGATTAAAAAAGATTTCATAAAATCACATATTTTATACATTTATTGCCATGAGCATCAAATGGGCTGTCATTAAGCCATTCTGTAACTCTCACGTCTTCTTTCGATATTCTACTATTTATAGAGAATGATAATCAGGTGTGCATTTATTTACGTATGAAATTGAGAATAAGTTTTTGTTAGCAGCATGTTAGTTTATAACTACCATAAAATAATACCATAACAAATAAGTAATAAATGATTTATTTCATTATACAAGGTATATTATGTATCAGCTTATAAAAGAACAAAAAAATAATAATTTTCAGCATCAAAACAGCATGGGTTATTCTCAAAGGCTGTGTCAATAGTACAAGGCCATCAAGACMRTCTTGAGCAGTTCTTTTCTTGTCACTGGCAAAGATAGACTCCAAATACTTCACACATAATGAATTGTCATATCATCTTGCTCTCCCTGCAAATTTACAAATTACTGATAAACTATAATATGGATTAATGATATCAATGACTTTTGACTTATGAAGATGTGAAGTATGTTGTCATAGTGAAAAGTCATGGAAATAACTACACTACAACTCTCCTCCAGGGGACTTGGGTGTGGCCTAGGTGTGGTCAAAGGATACTCCACATCTTCAAAGTTACGCAGTTAGCATTTTGGTACCTTGGCCTTTTGTGCAACYTTATGCTCAGCTATAGTCTCATTAGGCRTTATATCATGCTSATAGGCTTGACGCCCAAGAGATAATTTTCGTCCAAACTCCCCCAAGTCCCCACTGGGAGAGTGTGTTTGTAGATTCCTAATAAATTAACATTCTAATTATCAAAATGATCCTAGTTATCATATGACAATACAAGTTTTCCATGACGCCTGCTATTGGGCATGCAATAAAGTTATTTATACGCAGCTAATGCACCGCGATACTGGGTAATTTACCTAAATGATCCAGTGGGTGTACTGATCTTGTTATTGTTGGATGATGGTGTTGCTAGGGTAGGGCTTGTTGCTAGGGTAGGGCTTGTCTGAGGACTACTATGATTCATAAACAGACCCATTGTCAGTATATTCAGTAACTTTGTGCTATGGAGAATACTTGTAAAATCAGCACATTCTTGATACTACATTCAAACACTTTCCTTGTTTAGCCTCGTTTTTGTTTAATACTTACGCGGTTATTCCTACATTGTGATGACTTTGTGAATGGTTAGGTTGGTCTAGAGCATCAACTGTGTCTTCTGTCAGCTCGTTAGTGGTACTTATTTCACTCGATCTATTCAACATAAACCAGTAAATAAACGATTAATTATTTGAGATTTATTAGTGTCAGGTAAAAAACAGAATCCTACTTCCATGGTTTCATCTTGACRTTGGAATGAGGAATATGTGTTCCTTCTGGCCTAGAAATAAAAAACCGAAAAGAAATCAACACTACCCAAGATTGAGCAATGGCCTGAAGGATGTGCGCGGACATAGTTTCACTGTTGTAGCTTTGTGCACAGATTGTCTAATTTTCACTACTATTTACAGGTGGCTGTCATTTCGTATCAAAGCGAGACTAATGAACAATTAATTTGCTTACCCTCGTTCTCGGCCATGACAGCAAATCACAGTCAAGCAGACAATCAAAACAACTACAAGAATACCTCCAAAGCACAGCATCACAATACCAAATGATGATAGCTTTTTATTCATAATGGTTTGGTTAGRTTTGGTAGTTGGACTAATACTGGATGAAGATGTAACAGTATGTGTTTGTGATGGTATGATGGTATGTTGCGATGAAGGCGGTACATGCGTTGTTCTTGTTGTTCTTGTAGTAATAGTTGTGGTAAGGAGAATGGAAGAACTTGCATTAACTARTGACGATGAGAAAATTGGACTGATTGTAGGACTTGACGATATATTCGAAACGTTGAAGGCTGGCAAGGAAAGAAATATACAAAACAATTGAGCAAATAACAAAGGTATAAACCCAAAGTAAAAAAAACTGCCGTTTTATGACTTTTATCACTTGACCCTGCATTCATTTGACTGTTGATGCACTATAAACTATGGCTGATGTTCTAAACATTTCATGATTCATAGTTAGACCTGATTAATCTAAGATTTCTTTTCGCGCAGGTCATGGGAAAACATTTATGACTAATATAAGAACATTTAATAAAGATCTTTGCACAAATAGTAAGTCAGTTTTACCGAAAAAACATCCACCCTGTTCCGTGAGATGTAACCAGYATTTCCGACATAAATTATCACAAATTATTATCAAAGAAATGTTCAAAATACTTGTTAATTAACTTATATTGAAAACATTGTAAACATCMAATTATAAGTAATCAAGGTTGAATTTTAATCACTTATATTTCTATGACTTCCACTATACCRCACACTTAAAATACCCATCAGGAATCCTTAAGAAATGCACAGATAACACACGTGTCGTGCGTTTAACGCCCTTAACGGCGGGATGTGTTGACGGGACCCGTACACGAATCGATAAAAATAGTACAGGCCYGACGCTTTTGTTGTTTGGAGAAKACTTCTGAGTATGGCATGTTATGATTACTCTCCAGGCCARCATACTCGCGTTGCTATACCTATAAGGCCGCGTGTTATCTGTTTTTGTACAACRCTTCCAGCAATATGAACMTAGTTTGAGCTGAAAAAGYCACTTACTGACAGTCTAGTACTATTACATGGTTTTGCGATTATATCAGTGTCTCATATGTTTATAAAATGCACAAAAACTTGTCAAAAAAGTAATCCTTGGTTAGTTCAGCTGTTCGACACAACACTAGAAGTGTAAATTCTGAAAACTATAATATCCTCAAAAGAAAATCCATCTTTTTTACTTGACCGAGTGATTTATAGCTTCTAAAATGGGAACATTTTCATTAATTAATGTGAATATTTTGAAATAGTAGTATACATTGAAATCATTTGCCCATGAGGGGGGTAATAAGAGTCCTTTTCGCGTTGGATTTCCAGACGTAAAAAAAAGAATCAAAATTAATTTACTTGGATTCTGTGTCAGTGAAAAGGGTTGCAATAAGATAATCGATAGATACTTAGTGAGTTCGTGTACCTGTACAAAGACCTTTCAGTGATAATAGCATTACAAACTGTAATAGTAGACATGGGGACCACCCGGATAGAACAGAACTAGAAGCCATGCCCAAGGTAGGCTACATTCAAACTTCTTTAGCTCGTACAAACTTCACACATCGTCACGGATTCATTAAACTGACATTCAAACAAACTCAGTACATATCTACGAACAAAAACCTTTTCATCCAATCAGCGCTCTCTTTCAAATCCTTGTGTCAATAACAAGACAGTTTGTAGCTTATTGATAAACTAAGCATTGCTTTGAGTGATAGATTCATCAACGTACAGGAATGACGTTTACAATCATTTAAGATAAAAGTCTTTTAATAAGTCATCATCTGTAAGTTATGTTGATGGAGGAATGAAAGTCGTGCAAGTCCTAATGTCAACAGCAYGTATAGTAGTAAGAACCCAATGTACATAGTGGAAATGGATTATATGTATTAGAATTTACATAAGAACGACGGGCTCGATTCTAATCACTGACGAGAGTCTTTCCAACCACGGCATATAGAACAAACACGTGACTTCCCTAGCAATTCTTGTAACCATGGTGATTCGTCATCCCCAATCAACGATATAGAATTCTCGCAGTCTTGGCACCGATGGTACATATAGTCTGCGCAAACGCAGAACGTTACAACACAACGTTTCCACACATGTCCATTTGTACATTGTCCTCTKATCAAACTGACAAGCGGTATGTTTGATTGACAAAATACACACTGCTCTCTGCAAGGTAAAGCAAGTGATGATATTTCGCTTGTTTTCAGTCGTTTGGAAGAAGGTTCATCTCCGTTTGCTCTTTCATCTTCTTGAATCCCACACTTCAAAGGATCAACGCTAGCCATTTTACCCATGATTCCGTTTTGCCGTATCTGYGTTGCTAAGGCGATACTGTTACGTTCATTTGTCATGCCATAGACTTGTAACGCAAGGTCTAGCGTGACAGGATCACTGTAGTTCATCACCAGCCAGTCACTCATTATCAACAGTGATCTACGCTCTGAAAGGACATASCATGATTTTAGTATATAATTGGGGGSAATTTTTTCCAATGTYCAACTATTGGTAGCTKTAAGGTGACTGCAGAGTAAATAATTACGTTTAATTACTTTTAAAGGTTACACATCATACAATAGACCTCTGCAGCTTTTACGTCATGTACCGTATACGCAATGCATTGTAGGACATGGACAGAAAATGACGGATTTCTTTTGTTTTCTCTAGAAACTGATCCCACAATGCATTGCAAATCAAGTAGTGACGTAAAAGGTTCAGAAGTCTATTACCTTTATCAGTTAGCTTGCTATTCCTATGGTTGTCTACTTTGGACTTCAATGATGACATCATTAACATTTTAACAATCTCTTTCCCAATCTCCWTAGCTTCTTGTTTCCAATCATGTCCATCCAGGATGTTGTCATCTGCCGTAAAACTGTCATCTGATTGGCTAGAAAAGTGATCTGTCAAATGATATCTKATGTACATTGATGGGATAGAAAGGTCTTGTAAAGGCTGTTCAAGGAACTCTGCAATGGGACCTTCTTTTGGAGGGTCGTTTTGACAGAAGTGTTGGTATATCCCKGTCTGTATGTCCCACACGGAACCATGATYRACCTGAGAAATTCCCTTTGATAATGTTTCTTCTGATACAAGTGAAACAACAATGACCTAGATAAATCAACAAAAAATTGGTCTAGTTATTCATRTATTTATATCAAGGTAGATGGACAAGTTTAATACAAACCTCAACCTGTTTGTAGGCTCCTTTGTTTTGAAGTATGTGAATATTTGGAGTRTGAAACAATGCAACAAATAGCCCATTGGGAGAGACAGCAAGACCACGACGTATATGACAGGRTTTTAAGTCATATTCTACCACCTTGGCTTGCCTCGTTACTAAAACAATAAGTCAATATGAATCATTACTATGTTTGAAGTTCTGATGTTCARAAAGCACATTATTTTTCATGGCTTCTATCACTACCATATGAAATTTGTATGCTGTAAATCATTATCATCTCAAGTAGTTCAACCCATATACATAAACAAACAACCCATATACACAAGCAAACAACTTGACRAAACCTACATACCTATATCAGTCATTTGTACAGAACTGTCRGAATCACACGTAAAAACACTGCCATCCTGAGTCACACCCATATCACAAATAAACGATAAGTGATCACAGTCTATAACAATGTTATTGAATTCTTGAACAGTTTGGTCATCATCAAGTAATAATRTAAACTGAATAAGTGAAGATCCTTTTGCTGCTACAGCCACCATACTGTGTTTCTATARAAATGATAAGATTGATAACAATAATAGTAACTCATGACARTAATTCAGCTGAACAAGTTAAGCTGTCATATCTTATCATTACTGCATTAATGATATATYAATATTATACAAGGATCAATAATATTATGATAATCAGATACGTCATATACTTACACTCTCCGTTTGTTGTTTTGTAGTAAGCCATGAAATCCAATTCACTGACAAGTCATCAGCATCATTCCATATCATATGCTGTGATATCTTATTGATATTGACTTTACATTCTGAGCTGACTGTGATTGAYATATCAATGACTTCAATTTTACCATCCACACCTCCAACAGCCACTAGCCCTGAGGAATTAGAAACTGATGTTTATTTTCATTCAGTAATACATGTAACACACAAGGAGAGCATGACACTTATTGTGTGTTCTCCCTGCCAATGTCATTTCATTTGATTTTGATTCATGCAGATAAACAATCTCCCACTAGATTGATTTACCTTTGTTAGTRTCTGTATTGCACCAGCTAAGAGAACATGGCTGCAGAACTGAACACTGAATGTCACAATCTACCAAATGAACMTCTGCTTCATCACATAAAATAGGAACAGCCACTTGCCAAAATGTTAGTTTACCATCTAGTGTTGCTACAGCAAGTATTGCAAGTTGCTGAACATGACCTGRAAAACCTGYATTTWTATCCTTGGAGTCTATCAAYGCAGGGCACCAAGTAAAACATGCAAATGACACATGGTTTATATAGCCCATCTCAATGGTTGATATKGCAGTAATTGTCTCTGAAGTTACTTTTTTCTTGCGTTTCTTTARATTCCCTAACTTTTCATCAATGTCAGGAAAAAATTCTTTTTGACAGTGTTTGGACCATTGTTTTGATATGCACGCTGTTTCTGTCCAATTTTTGCTGAATTTATTTGACATATAAAGACTTAATCTGTTATCTAGACATAATGTTGCCAAGATGCACCTGTAGTAAAAGAATAAAGAAATGTAAAATAAGATAGCAACAACTCTGCTAGGTCCCAAAACTTAACTAACCTGYTGTGAACATCGCATCCAATGGGAGACCAAGCAACACTTTTAAATCCATTCATACCGTCGCCTGGATTTCTAGATGARAGGCTGAACAGCCGCTTTACCGCTATACCATCAACTGAGTCAACTTTGCCAAAATCAAGCATGTCAAGACTAGATTTATGATTGACATAAAATTGATCGTTTGCCTTGRCAGGTATWGATGAAAGRTGGTACTTGATGCTTGGCTTGGTACTGTCCTCGGAGAGCARTAATGTCTGACTTGTTAAGGGTTGCAAAAAATAATTTTCTGGCATGTATGAGACAGAACATTAAGTTAAGCTTAGCTTATCTATAAGAAAGCAGCAGTTTATACGAACTTCAATGCAAAGGATACCATTATATACACGTTTTGATCTGTAATAATAGATATCCTGTCATCRCTGGACCAGGATAACGCTCCATGATATGATGGTAAATTAGATAAAGCGAAGGAATGGATAAGTTTTCCTTGAAGAACTTCTTTTGACTTGTCGTCGGCCATTACGATTTTCAGTTTCCCGCGCTGACTTCTGGAGACTGGATCGAGATGCAGCCGCTGTCCAGAATAACAAGTTTAATACTACTCAAAATTCTTCATAAATAATGTCTTATTTAATAGACTGACATTGAATGCTGTGAAAAATGCCAATCTTCGTCGAGGGGGAAATGCTGGATAAGAATTGYCTGTCTGTCAGCCTAATTATTGAAAGATTTCCAGACCTTGAAGTACATTCCTATACATAAGTTTGAGCTGTATTTTATTTTAACTTATTATTTGTCATGCTTTTGTTTCTCTACTTCAGAACAATGCCAAGGCATTTCGGAGTCAATCAACAAGACAAGTCCCTAGTTCTGGTCTGTTATATGTCATGCAAAGAGAGTTTGCCACAGTCAGCCCTGCTGATGGTAAAAATATTGTTAATATTAATAAAATTGAAATTGAAATTCTGGAATTAAAAGGGGACTCAGACCCATCATATCTCGGATCTAATTCCTACATGCTGAATATTCTTTTAGGTAATGTAACAGTCATGGGCTCTGAGGATGCAACAACATGCCATATCGTCTGTATCAGGAATAAAGGTTTACCATGTGTTCAACCAGGAAATAATATTATGATGGGCCTGAATATGAACTACATTTTTTCCAGGTACTGGMACAACAAGCCTATGCCATTTAGATGGATGTGCAATGGAAGAAGCAATTAATAATATGGTTGATTCAGTCTCTGATGGTCTACAAAATGAGTAAATATGGTTTGATAGATTATCACTAGGTTTTCCAGGAATTAACATATGTATTGTATTTGCCTATTAGAATCGACTTACACATGTTTGGTGGTTTCCTGGACGACAGACAAATATCAGTACAAATAACACATGAAATCCTATGTTAGTATATAGTTGATATTTTATTTTCAGTCATCTAGTTTTTTTTTAAATTAATTGATGTTTTTTTTCAGCATCATTTCACAGCAACTCCTCAAAAATCAATCTGTGTACTTTCTGCGTAACTGGTAAAGATAGCATCCCTAACATATGACATTTCCTGTTATAAATACCAATTTTGCATTCACTTCATAGATTTAAATGACACAGTTAAAAATGGACTCCATTATCCAGTAGTTTACGGCGTAGGTATAAGATACCTCCTTTGTTTTTGTGTTTTATGTCGATATTACCACTTCTTCATTCTGTAACAAATCGACTCAACTTGYACTTTATAGAGACATTGCATTTCTGGGAAAGACTCTKGAGAATAGATTAGGCCTTAGTGGGATTCGAAAACMCCAAACAGTTATTCCTGTTAGTATTTTTTCCCKGGATTTTTTTATATWTTTAAGAATATTTTTTAGCAATTAACGTCAAGACTGGGGAATTTTTTCCTGCAACATTTCCTCATAAAGGACCAGACTACCATCTAAGACATGTTAGATGTTTAACTCATGGACACGAAAAGGCAAGYTATCTTTTAAGAAAACCAAAATAAGAATGATCAAAACTTTATTACAGATAATAATTATTGATTCTTTTTTAGGTGATTCAAGTGTATAATTCCACAATTGGTGAACTTCAAATTGGACCATTTAATTATGAATTTTTTAGGAAAGCCACATTTTTTATGAATGCACCAGATGACTCCATCTTGAAGGTAAAAGAAATATTTACACTAAATACAAAGCAAGTCTATGGACGGGAATAAGCACAGCAAGCAATGAAATACTTTAAAGTTCCTAGCATACTCCTGATAGATAACTGTGACTTTCGTCAAAGTGAGATATRGTTGAGCTTGAGATGGTAGATACCTGTGAATTGTTGTTTTATGACTGTAGGCTTTGGCTACCTTTCATGATGAGGCTTGGAATTGTATTGTATTATTTAGACAACTGGAAATTTAGCATACATATATTTAAATATTAACTGGATGCAGCACCATCTAAAAAAGTTTTTATCATGGATTTTTTTCACAGACTTTGTCCACATCACCACACTGTGAGTCACCASGTTTTTGTGATGAAACAAGAGCCACTATGACATACCTTGTAAACAATCCAGAACCACTGAAGACAGTCTTTCCTGATGGTACTCCCCACAGATACACAAGGAACAGTGATAATGAATGGCAGAGGGTTGGACAACCGTAGAATGGCAATTATTTTGGATTAATTAATTATTCTAAAGTTGTAACAAAATGTAAACGAATATTTAATAACATTACAATCATGTAAAATAAAAACTACAAATGTATTTTCATTGATGCTCGCAAAATTTGCGATGCGCAGAAATAAACGGGCTTTTCACAAACAGATTGGGGTACCTGTGTTGTTAGATGGGTGGTCCTGGGTTCTAGTACWATTTACGTGTCCAAGTTTGATTCGAAAATGCATGAAAGATTCGATGAACTTGAACGAAAGGTTGCATGAATGGGACGAAGACAAGGTTACGCCATGTAGTGGCCATGTTCACTAAACATCCATGTGTGTTYGTCTGTAGTGTGGTKTTGGTATTAGCTGCAGTGTGTTCGTGGTATTTGTGCAGGTAAACAGGGGAATATGGGTCAAAACGTCGAGATGTTAGCTGTTTTAAAAACAATTTTAAAATAAGCCTGTATAATTAGAATATTAAACCGTGAGTATAACCTGTTAATATTATTTTGAAAGACACATACATTAGATAATATTTTCCTGTGTTTGAAAATAAAGATTGAAATTCCAAGCTTGGGAACTACAATATCTATTTAACTCCCTTCTAGTGTGTGAATATATTTATATCAAGCTAGTATTATTGGTAAACTTTTAGCTAAAAACCAGCTTGTGTCATAAGCATATCAAAAATAAAGAGGTCACTTAACACAGTAGATCAAATCAGTAAGCTCTTGTCAATTATATAAGTCTAATACTAACCGCAAGGGCTGACTTCAATTGTAATCAGATTGATTTAATAAATAAAACTGTTGTTGTTGTTGTTGTTGTTATTGTTAATACTGAGATTTTACTGTTGGTTTCAGGGGTGAAAGCATTTCCCTGTTTCCCATCCAAAGACCGCTCTTTCCTTATAATTCCCAAGTCCATGAAATCATTGATGGTTCTCTGGAAGCCCTGTCTGAGTTTATTGATCATGGGTCATTAAAATTTGTTATGTACTATGCGCCATGGTGTGGCCAATCCAGGAGAGCAGTACCAGAATTCATTCAAGCTGCAAGTAGACTTCACCAAGAGGTAACATGAAAAGGTTTCATGATTTACTAGTAATTTGGAAATGATTTTGATTGATGGAAAACAGTGAACAACAATCCAGTATGCACTAATGTTGCTATGTTTTTTTTCATTTGTAATTAAGGTAACATTCATTGCAATCAATTGCTGGACAGGACCATGTCAAAARGAATATCAACTAGAGTACTTTCCTCAACTTGTTGCTTACCATACAACTTTTCCTGGAATACCTTACCCTGAGAGTAGTGATGTCCAATCATTGTACATGGTAAGATTACTAATAATATACCATACTTGCAAGTTAAAGGAATTGAATCATGATGTTTTCTCCAGGAAAAGTGTAAGTYGTTGCTAATATTTTTTAACCAACTTTTCAGGTTAAATTCTTGCARAACATTTTAAGACCATTTTCTTACATTGGTAGAGAACATGAAATACTTGAAACTAGAGTAACAAACCAGGTATTAAAATATCACATTTATTAATTGCTTTTTGCCATGTTTTTAATCCAATCCATATTCTTTCAGGAGTTCATATTGAGCTAYATCAATGGTGTCGACAGCAGAGAGTATAAACGATTTTTTGGTGCCGCACTGGAATATATTGGCAAAGGTAAATGGTGAGCTTCCTGTGTTATGGTGTAGCACAGGAAGCCCAATATCTATTTTATTTTGCAGTATCCAAACCTTTCTTTGGACTTRTTCTTAATGTGAACATTGCTAACAAAGTAGGATTAAAGACAAATGGACAACTGTTATTCTATAGAACACTGAATGCAACCTTGGTGAGTTTTACTACAAAAAGTAAAAATAACGTTTGAATCATACTGTGTAAAATCATAGTTTCTCTTAGTTTAAAATTTCTTTCTTATCTGATAGAATTATTATCCAAAGTCAAACAGCTCCATTAAAAATATAACAGAGTGGATCTCAAAAAATCGAAAAGAGGTAACAGTATGTACATATCATCAGTAAGATTGTCAGTTTGTTTGCTAAACTCACTCTTTTTGTTCAGATAATCAGTGAACTGATACTAACGCCATCACAAAAGCAAGTCCTTCAGTCAAAGTTGAATGATAAACCTGCTGTCATACTGTTTTTACCAGTYCGGCGACACAAAATTGCCACACCACTTTTAAGAATGGTAAGTAGAGATRGTAGGAAAAGGTAAATTGCTGTTGGTCTCATTGTCTTGAATTACTGTGATTTKTATTCAAGTATACAAAAGTTGCTACAGACTACAATAACTGCACATGTGTAAATGCAACAAACACAAGAACACTTCATGGTAAGGTCAATGGTGCTTTACCTACTGTAGTCAACCGTGATGACATCCAACCATCTAGTAGCCACCACACTGGACATGACGGTCAAGCCAAGACTAGTGTTTTATGCAAGTCTTTTCTGGTAAAAAGTAAACTAAGGAAGCAGAGTATTTGTGACGTATGCTGCGTTGCAGGAAGCCATTGTCAATTTATTAATTTTGATAGAAAAAATATTCAAAGGAATGAGGACACACCTTCATGCTGGAGTCTTAGACTAAATTTGGTTACTAGGGCCAATGTGTGTTGCCATGGTGCTCTACCTATATATGGTTACAAAGAAAGATTAAAGAAAAAGTTGCGTTTTACAGCAGACAACATTTTTGAGCAAAAGTTGGACAGTTTTTTAGACAGTTTTTATAATCAATTCCTTAAAGTTTTAGAACCATTGCACAGTGATATGAAGGATGAGGTGGATTATGAACAAGTGTCAGGATTCCAGGCTACAAAAAGTGTCATTGCAAGTACTATTGCACCTGCTGTTAGTACAAACAATGCTAACAACACAAATATCAAAGAAAGTGGTTCCCTAGCAACACAGTTGAATGACAGCATCAGTGATGGGTGTAACCGAAGTGGTCATGTGACACACTTTCATGGTGCCAGTTGYCATAGCAATAGGTCTGTTAACTTTTTCTATATGGACTCTGAACGGTTTTGGAGTGTTGCCGAGAGGTTTGGCGTACAGAGTAACATTAAGAACAAAGTATGTTTGGTTGTAGTGGATGTCAAGGTAATAGTTTGTCTCTATATATGGTAATATCAATCAATGATTGTTAATGATAGTGATGAATCTCTTTTAGGATGAAGTATATCATGTAATGAGTGGAAATCTTCCTGTAACAAACCAGACTGTTGGTAAGTTGTAAGCAGCCATTGATTATTTTGTAAAATGGAGGTTAATATTGCATTCCATTGTATCATGTAACAGAACAGCCATGTTCTTATCAATTTTGACAATCTGATGAATATTGTGACACAAATTGGTTTTGTTATAGTGGATTTTGTCATGGAGTTTATGAATTCAAGACTAGAAAGAACACTTCGGTCAGCAGCCACATCAAGTCAGACATGCCCAAAGTCCCAGGCATGTGTAGTTGAAGTAACGTTAGCAACACTTGACCAAATAGTCATGGATAATGACAAGGTATTGTAGTTCATTTTCATTGAAATATTAACTGGATTGTGAACTAATATGGTTTTTAATTCAGGATGTCTTGTTGGTCTATTATGCACCTTGGTGTGGGTTTTGTATCAACCTTGCYCCAGTCTTACTTGCTGTAGCACGATATTTTAAAGACTTTAAAAATGTTGTMATAGCACGGTAAGTGGTTGATAAGGCTAGACCAGTAGGTAACAKWATATTATTACAATAAGCTTGCYCCCTTTATTGTAGCATTTTTATTGTGTAGGATTGATGCCGACAAGAATGACTTACCATGGCAACATACAGTGACATCATACCCAACCATCGTTCTTTATCCTGCAAGAAGGTATTCAAATGTCTKTTTAATGTTTTGATTTCATTCAAACATGCTAATTCATTGGCTTTATCGTTGCAGGAAAGACTTTTCGGTTCGCTTTCATGATTCTTCAAAACGCACCGCAGAAGCTTTGATTCGATTCATTCTTGAACATGGAACCGAGGCTGCTTACTTTGTATTACATGGGAATGATGACGTGTGTAGGAATTGTAACAAGAAGAGATTACACTACCTGGAATCTAGTATTCGTCGATTGGAGGAAGAAAAACAGTTCTTGGAGACAAGACTAGAAGGTATGATGATGGAGAAATCTTTGTTAAAACTTAAACACTTAAAACTAGTCAAAGCCACGCACGAGGCACAGAGGAGGGCCAATGAGGAAAAGGAGTCTCGTATTACTATGGAAACTAAAGTAAAAGAAGCAGATGAATCTCGACGTGAAGCAAACGACAAAAATTTAATTCTTGTACTTCGTAACGCACAACTAGAGACAGAGTTATCCCAGTTAAAAGGAGAACTTCATGAAATCAGGGAGAAATCAACATTAACTTTTAAAGAGATTCAACAAGCCATTGATCTTAAAGAAGAACTAGAAGAAAACAACGAATTCTTAGTCAAAAARCTCGACCTTGCCATCACTAGAATAACTGAATTACAAAAACTAAACAAGGCTTTGTCCAGTAAAGTACGAGGTTTACGGAATATAAAAAATACACTAAATACAAGACTAACAAAAACTTCTATTGAAAATCTCCAACATAAGAAGGTAATAGACGATTTGAATACAGAMAAAAGTACGCTAAGCTCACTGCTGAAAGACGCAACATCAACTATTAAAGGTTTAAAAGCATCGTTAGCATCGTTTGAGAAACGACTCGATGTCGAGGAAGAAAAGCGTACTACTGCAATGAGAAGACATCAAGAAACCAGCGATAAACTCAAAGAAATGGAAACAAACTATGAAAAACTAACAGTGATATTGAGTCAAATTGATATTCCCAAGAAACAGCAGCTGAGCTGARGTGTTTGATAATAAAAWCTTTCAAATGTTCACATCGTTGCCCTTACTTAACCGGACGTGAAAAGTAAAGACCAGTAAACAACACCGTGTGATTGAGTCGCCCACTCCAGGCGGAACCCATTKTAAGCGAAATCTTTACTCTCCAAATGTTTCAAAAGTCGACTCTGRGCTTTTCATTTGTTTGAATTCGATCAGTGTTCCTTTCCATTGTGTTGTTGTTCAGCYTTTTTGATTTTGTCTTGGTATTTCTTGACTATTTCATTGATCTCGTTAATCATGTCCKTCTCCAGCTTTTTCACATTCAAGTTTGACATTTCAATATCAGCATTGACGGTGTAGCATTCTGAATAAGCCAAAAAGGAAAGTCATTGAAAAATATACAACGTACCGTTTCTAGCTTACAAGTCGGGTCAAAAAATCCGTGAAATAGGTAGAGCACAACTTCACCGCATCCACTATGTTTTGTGTCTATTTGACTATTTCTCCTTATTTATAAGTGTTTTTTTTTTCACGGATTTAATGATCTCGATTAGTTTGGAACATATACAATGGAAAGCAATTACTCAACAGCAAGCCAGTAACTTACGTGCTCTCTGCGCTATGCAATGCATCGGTCTCAGGTAGAAAATCTCCGCAATGATTCCAATGACCACGATAATAAATACTAAAATCACACAGGAATACAGTGACGGGTAGAACAGATCGCCAGTTGGATCGAAGATACTTTGAGAGTTTTTGACAGCTACGTCCGCACCTGGTGACTGAAAATGTACAAATACAGTAAGACTAGATTTACATGTCGCTCAGAAGGTGATAAGCACAGTGTTGTTTTGACTTGGGATGAATACAGAAACACATCCCTTCAACTTCTCGCCTGTATAGTGATGATCTCGCATGCTGTCCATTGCGCTGCGATGATCTGTCTCAGCCTTACGCGACCGAAGAGGATTATGGATAGAAATGAYATGACCATACATATTACCCATACTCCCTTTGGGTCTAGTCACATAGGGTGAGGCTAACCAATCAAAATGCTCTCTACTTTACCTTCATTGTTTTTTTCAATGATTTTCTAATGAAATTRTACACTATAAAACGATCGTGTCGGAGAACTTGCTGGAAACACTCGTTAAGCTGAGTGTCATTAATTACAGCGCCATAAGAGATCTTTCCTTGAGAGATAACTTCGTCTATTTTAAAGTGTGCATCAGGAAAGAGGTTCTTGTAGTCGTGAATGATGTACTTGTCTAGTARAGCACCTAKCAAACACAAAAATAACATAACATTACTTGGGTTAATCCGATTGAGGTGTATTGAGGTGAATCAAAGGAAATTACGGACAATCGTGGACTGATAATCGCACAAGGATCAAAGAGTGGTCATAAAATACGACATAAATCAATGGTACCTCCAATGTGATTGTCATCTAAAGCTTTCTTTATATCTTCAATTGTAGAAAAAACTAAAAAAGAAACCAYATAACAGTTATCCAGGACAATATTTACTAGAAAACCACTCATAATTACCGTTGATGTCACTTTGATGCTGTATTGCTACTGACAACTCGATCGATCGTTCTAGAACACCAATCTGAATAAACAGAATATACAGTCATGGCGTAATAACGTCRATAAATTCCAGGAATTGTTGGAGGATAAATCTACTTACCTTTGATCCAGTGATAGTTTTCTTGGTATCCATGGTGATGGTTGTTAAGGAYGTTGTCAGTGTTGCAGTAAAGATTGATACAATACAAATACCAATAAGAATCCAACAAACTGCGAACACACGTCCCAAGAAAGACCGCGGTGATCGATCACCATACCTGAAAGTATCAACAACTTGTGTCARACCATTTGTAAAGYAAGCAGTACATGRYTTTCAACGCCAATTCTCTTACCCGACGGTTGTCATGGAGACAAATGCCCACCAAAAKCCTTCCCATGATCCTCTGATAAATGTACGCGGGAATTCATCAGGGTTTACTCGTATTTCCTAAAATAGCATTATTCTTATATTACTGCACTTCCTGCTGGTGAATACTACTCGATTTATTGCAATGAGTGACTACTACACAATGACTACAAATTGTACGATATCATCAAACTTCTCGCTCACTAGTTTTCCATCGATGCTGAACTAATGCGTTTCATGACGAAGGCCTAAACTTACCGTAACCCATAATATGATTCCCGCCAAAATCGACAAGAGAAAAGTAAGAATTAGCACAGGCCAAGCATCAAACACTGAGGTCAGCAGTTTCATGGGAAAACTTTGTCCCTTGACTCTTGGTACAAGAAACGCGATATCGGTTGGTGGAACAATACCGATCATRTTGTTATTATGATTTAGTGGATCTACTATGACTGGGTACAGTATAACCGCRTTACCAGATCCTCTGAATAATATATTAGTAACATCTTGTACTGGTTTATTATGTTCTATTTGCCAGCAAGACTGGTTTCTGTTGCCACAGCATTTGTCAAGTAGAAGACTCAAAGCATCTGTCAAATACAAAAATAATTTCACTTGACAAGTGTAAACTTAGTATAAACTTGTTAGACAATGCTGTTGGTTGGGGAGAGGTGCCAAAAGGACCTGATCTTTCTAATTTATGGTAAATTTAAAGGAAATACGCTATACTGAGATTGCTTGTGCTCTGACGTCAAATTGCAATAGGCAAAATTRTCGCACGATGACGTTTGCATGTTGAACGATGATGCCAATCACATATTGAACGAGTGTTCTTAAATGTTAGTATTTTCTGTATATTGTAAATAAATACAATTTTTGAGAGCAGTTAATTTTGCGTCTTGAAAAGTCACTGTTGTGAAACACAAAGACGTTCACTGAGGCAGTAAAATAGTCTTAAAAGCACAAGTAAACTTACAAAATATTGTTAGAAAAATTGACCCTTTGAAAGGGTGAAATTTTAAAATCACTGCTAGACGACACGTGCTCTGAGAAAGACGCCGAATAAGAAGATATAGGTTAATGATTTTKTGACTGATTTTGGACGATAAATAAAACCTCATGGCGAGAAAACAACAAGGGAAAGATGTTGATCATAAACAATGGGACATCTCTAAGGACGTAGATATGGTAGAAGTTGTTTATAGTATGGYGTACATCGTGTAGACTGTGTATGTATACCTGGTAGTATTCCTCGTGTTTCATTGCCTTCTTGATAAACATATGGCTTCCTTTCACTCCAAGAAACTCTTATCGGTTTAGTACATGTCATTGGGCCTTTACAAGTAGTATTCGTAGAGTTCACGTCGGCAGATACACCAGCTTCCACAAGAACCAAAAAACACAAGATTTTTAGCAACATGTTTTATGCTACGGTTCTCGTAAGCGTTGAAAACGTTCAAGCACTACAAGYGATTGCACAGGGTAAGCAAATACAATCACATCACTATCTGAAGAAGGGGTTTATGGAGTAAAGGGAATCACGCCGTAAACAGAACTTAGAAGATCCAAACTGTTGCATTGATCAGTCTTGATCAGTGTGAGGTCAAGAAGGTCCTTTTTCGTCGATTGACGTCTATGCGTGGACAATACCTCATGACTTGATATGGTTGAATGACATAAAAACATTGTTTTTTATTACGGCATCTATTGTAAAAACTTTAGCAAACTCATTGAAGCTGCAAATGACTTGAAAAGACATTAACATAACACTGTACTTAGACGTGTTTCTACAACTGTGAAGATCTCAGCTCTAGTGTGCATAAAATCGTGTCAATCCCACCAAAATGCGATTTGCTAATTCCTGTGAGAAAACCAATATTTTAAAAAGTAAATTGTTATGTTTGACAAGCCTCATCTCAAGTTGTCCATATGCCTTTTTAAAGTCTGCCTTTCTTCAAAAACTCAATGGCGTAAAATTTCTCGTTTAACGATAGTTTTAACCCGATAAACAAACTTTTTTACTCATGTGCTGTTCAGGTTTCATGTGCAGATTGAAAAGMAAACCTCCGCTTCGTTGTTTTTAATCTACAATTTCCATTTTCAATCGATCACACGGCACAGCGGTGATTTAACGAAGTTCTCTAGAAATCTGTAGGAAAAAGCGCTCAATCAACCCACCACACAAAGGAAAAGACGGATTGTCAAAAATATCACAAGTCAGTTGATATTAAAGATGGTAAATAAGAAATTACATAACAAAGAAAGTAATAAAACAAGGTTAACCGCGTASCGTACRTAATTGTACTGCGGGCTCTATCCAGTATTCAAGGCAAACAATCGTGGTAATCAGTTTATTGTACAGGACGAACATTGACATGACTTTGATTGACAGGTCAGTGATGTAAGTAAATATTCTGAACGAATGAAAATAGCACTAAAYGTACAACTATTCTTGATCAGTTTTAGGTGATCGACGTTTCGTAGAAGTGTTAAGRGATGATACTTTGATTTGACAGGTAAGATTATAAACTGGTTCGATGTACTCATAACATGCGAATATCTACTTGAATGTAAAAAAATTATGATGACTTAGCTAGGTGAGTATTTCCATGATTAAGACCTGTCTTCCTGAGCATTGCTCTTGTGTCAGTTCACGAAGTAGTCATCAATCCACAGAGGAAAATAAGTTTAACATCTCACGTTTTTCTGCGTTTCTTGATCCAGCTTAACTTGGCGGAATCCATGATAGATACTTAATGTATATATTCCTCAAATTAGTTTATCATAGACGACTCATATTTCATTGTTCTTACGGACGACTAGTAAAGGAAAGGTGGTGATTGGGAGTGTTGGRCGTTTTCCGAAATGAGTTTCTTCGAAATCTTTGAAATGATTTTTCKATGTTAGGCTTTGATAGCACCACGTGAATCATATGTAGAAGATTTTCTTACATTGTTTTACTGGTCTTGAGGCTGTAGTACCATCCACTGTACTTGGATTCCTGGAATAGATGTTGTGCTTTATAGCAATGAATCATTCAGCCAACAAATACAGGAAATCAATAAAGCCATATTTAGGGAGAATGACTAAAAAATGAAAATTGCACGCAACTGAGAAAGAACAGAATGAAACTGAGAATGAATGATAATGAAATATAATTATACTACAGTTGACTTTACTGACATGAACCCACATCTAGTTAACTGCTTCGACGAGTTTAACTGTTAAAAAAGGGTTTTGTTATTACTAGATTCAATAATAGAATAATGAACATATGGGATTTCTAAGACATCTAAATCAAACATAATAAATACCATGAAACCAAAACATACAATTATTTACAGATATTGGCGTAAATGAATGCAAGACTGATTTGATTTCCCTCTCGCTAACGAACAGTTGTACATCTTCTATTCAACGAGAAAATCTTTTTGGCGGTAAGAATGAAAATCCTCGATTAAATTAGGAAGTGATTACTGAGTCTTGTCCAATACCCAGTCGTCTTAACGAATTTTATTGCAGGAAACCTAGGCCTCTTGTACTTTGAAGCTAATTTCTGCATTATGCGTAAAGGCTTAATGAAATCGCTATGGTTCTTAATGACAAATATAAATGTAATAAAGGAAAAGRGCAGAATCTTATTCATTCATTAGTGTTGAGAAATAACAAGATTTCCTCTATTTAGCTTCAGTGCGGTTTGAGAAGAGTTAAGTTAGAAACGGCTGCTTGTAGAAGCCTTCAGGTTTGTCATATTGTCATGATACGATAGTGTTAGTTTTCGCCCATTGGATCGAATTAACGGTAAAAAASAACTATCGAGGAAAACCAATAACAGACGAACCATCGAGTAAACGATCAGCCAGGTGCATCCGATGAGCTGTCATCGTCGTCATTAGCAAAACTCTTGACTTGGGTACATTTTGGCAAAACGTTGGTTGGACCAAGTGGTTTATGCTATCAGAACAGGGTAATCTGACTACAGAATAGTGAGTATATTTCTGGTTTACAGTAACCAATATCCATGATAGCAATGGTAATGGTGAGAACCACTACACATGGGATACTGTTACTAACCTTTTTCTACGGTATCAACACTGAAATCTTGCATTTTGTTTGTTTTTGAATGTGTGAATTGAAGTTTTCCTCAAGAACCTTGTATTGGAAAAGATAGTATTTTCAACGATATTGAATATAAAAGGAAATTGTAACCACACACTTACATCAATGATATTAAGCTGTACCAAGTGGATTTGACAAATACGATACTATACACGAACAAATTATGAAAGAAAAAGACAAAGAATGCAGCGCAAACCCAACAAAAAACAATGATTTTATATTGTTAATTAACTAAAACAATTTGCTACCAAAAAGAGTATTTCTAACTGAAACGAACTGGAGATTTGACGCGAAAAAGAATCCTAACACACTAGACTTTGATAAAGCMAAAAGTACAAAAAACCTAAGGTGTTGCGGTTTATGTTATGAGTTTTTCCTAAAAGGTCGTACAGAATCTATTACAATGGTGAAATATCAGTGTTTGATAACATTTTTACAAAACTCAAAGTACTAATCCTTGAAGTAGAGTGCGTCAATGCAGATACSAATCTATGATGTTATTTATCACTCGAAAATGAAACGATAAATGAGATGGCACGGAGTCGTTGTCATTATTCAAATGTTGATCACCACACCGTTCAACGTGAAAACCGTTCAATATTTGTCGAAGGGTAAGTCGTATTTGGTCATTATTTTCTTGCTTTTTTGACTATTCACAAACACCTTGCAGTGAAAAGTTTTCTTTTAMAATTGACGGAAACATGTAAAACAATGAGAAAGACAATTTCACGATTAACTATAAAGCGATTATAGTTTCAGCAAGCGAGTTGAATCCTATARATTAATTAAATGACAAAATTGAGCTTTTCGGCAAGTCGGTTTACTAAGTTTACCACAGTTAGGTGCGCTGGTAGCACTGCATTCATGTATTTTTTTTCGTATCTTATTTCGTGCTTTGCAGTAATAGATGGAGATTTTCCTATATACAAGTGTCATTAGCAAGTATTATAAGTCGGGTATTATCATTAGATAAAGGCTTGTCATAAAACGATTTTATCATAATTTATCATAACTTAGACAATATCGAAAGATTTTCCCATTCTCAAAGACAAAACAGCATTCGTTAGGATTGTTACTATGGTTACCTTAAAGAGAACTGAAATATGAATGAGTCACGTGACTGAGTCATGTGGTTCACTGAAAACACGTGACCTGGGATTATTGTATCRCTGTATTCTAGCTATCATCATTTTTATTAGTCACAAAAACTACTGAACAGTATTTGTAGAAATACGATAAAGTCTTCAAATGTTTATAAAACAATGATAATAATTATCAATGTTTGTTTTACTGCGTTATCAGCGTTTATAATTTAGATTACTATCCTTACTGTACAGCCATAGYGGTTTATTCTAACAAAACATTGCTTGAAGGTCGCAGTCCCCTCGGGCTAATAATCGCAGAAATAGTGTATATTAATCAGCTTTAGCGTATGATATATTAGGTTATTACAATTTTAATCTATTGAAGCCGTTACCACAATGCTTCACTGTTCTTATTAATTACTGAACACAATATCGATTGACTCTAGGGCTGCTAKATTAACTTCCTGACCGTCAATACTACAATTGTACTCATGTTTTTCATACAACTGCCCCAAAATTGCAGAAAAACAACCCTTGGGTTTCGGGTGTAATTAAAGAAGTCACTATCAGTCCATCAATGGTTCTCGAATGATCTAAAATTGGCGATCACGTGACTTAGATTAAAAAATTGTGAGCTATGATTGGTTAATTTACAATTTAATTAAATCAAGGTCAATTATAAAATAGAACACGATTACTGTTAAAGCGATAAGCAATTCCAATTCGCAGTTGCAGTCAGGACTTACAACAATGCATAGAATTAACTTCTTAATTCAAATCCGTAACATGCTGGCTTTACTAGCAGCGGGAATACGCAATGAAGGCGTAAAACCTTCCTTTGACTTCCTACTTTGAACTATTTAATCCATAACAACCTGTCAAACGCACAGTGGAATATTGTGAAAACAGACTAAGAAAAAAGTCATTCATGATGTTCTACACATCTCGACTGCAAACGTAAAACAACAAATAACAGGTCAGTTGCAGACAATGCCGAGCTGCCCCAGAGCCATGTCATGTTAAACTCTGTTTTTCTAWGGGAGAATCGATCATGTGATGCTTGTCTTCATATAAAATATATTGAAAATTGAAAAACAAAACAAAAGTCAATAAGAGACAAACACGGACAATATTATTAAAGTTTGTAGTCACAAAAGGGGCCAGTCAATCACGTTGAGCGTCATTCATCGTAAGTAAATCGTATGTCATCCAACATTGTAGAGATCWCTTCTATAAAATTTCAATTGTTAGTTCCACCCATATTCGCTAGTAGATCCATACAACTCTTCTAGTCGTTAGATGATCGTTGGATGTCGTWAAAGATCGTAAGCTGATCGTCAGATCATTCGTAGGTTAGTCGATCATTAGTCGTAGTTCCAAATTTATGGACAATAAGGGTCTCTTTTTTAATGTCTTAATTCATCTAAAGACCAAAAGCAAACATCTTTTGGACCAGTCGAGGTAATACTGAATTGCGTGCATCGTTTTTTGCTAAATGATTTTTCTAGATTACTTTTATCACGTTCCTATATTACTATTATCTGATAGCCTTTTAGCAGAATAGAGTTATCAACAACCATGGGCGGACCACAAAGAGAGTATTTGTGACGTCACATGCGTGATCGAATGCTTGATCGAACTTATCCCATATATTGCTATAGGCGATAAACGTAATCGAATGTTTGATCGTATTTATCACATGTATAGCTATATAGTGTACG